GACCACACTTGTGAGCCTTCATGTCGCTTTCCACAAAATCTTTCGTTTTTCGAAGCCTCTGAAGGAGGTTTAGAACATACGCAACTACATTAGGTCCTCATCGAATATCTCCCAGGACTCGCGTAGCATTCGCAATGGTGTTCTCAAACTCCTGCCATACACAAGCTTGCAGGGCTAAAACCAGTGCTCTTATGAGGAGCTGATCTCAAAGCGAACATAGCGGGAGGAATACACGCTTCCAGTCGAATTGGTGCTCGCAGCAAAGAGCTCTCATCATCCTTTTCAGAACGAAATGCATACGCTCAACCGGATTGGATTGCGGGTGATGGATCGAGCTGTGCACTACTTTTATTGCACATTTATCCATAAGGGTAGACGTAAGGCAGCTGGTGAAGACACTACCATTGTCACATTGGATTTCAGAAGGAAATCCGACGCATGCAATTATAGATAGCAGTGCATCCACGACATGAGGTGAATTGAGCTCCTTAAGTGGTATCGCTTCCGGAAATTTTGTTGCTACACAGAGAACCGTCAGGATGTACCGACAACCTTGCTTTAACTCTGGCAATGGCCTGACGATATCAATTACCAGGCGCCGATAAGGTTCTGTGATAATTAGCACAAGCTTCAAGGGTGCCTTCCACTTGTCCGTGGATTTTTCCGCTCTCTGACAACTGTCGCAGGACACAAAAATGATTTTTGTAAAGCGTTAATCACAGTGCTTGTTCTCAAACACAGGCGCTCAGAGACATCGCCGCCAAAGCCAAAGTGCAGCTAGAAAAACTCCTCGCTATAGAACGCCTGAAGGTGGAAGTTTAGCCATGCAAACGCTCTTTTAATCACGGCGTTTACACTGTTGCAATCGTAACGATTCTTGTTTGGCGTGCCGTTGTAGCGAGTGCTTGCCAGCGCGAGCTGTCAAACAGTTGACACTTGGCGGATCCTGTGGTTTCCAAGATTCGCCCGCCACCAGCGTTCACATTCCCGTTGACCATATAGGAGGGTGCCTCCCGGGACCAATGTTGTGCTCGCAACTGCGCCATCAGCCTACCCAATCCATGCTCTTTCACGTTTCTAATGTCGGCGCTCTTCAAAAGTTGTAGAAAAGTGCTTTTTTGGGCCGGTTGGTACATGATCAATGAAGCGAAAAAAAAAGAGCGCGTAACACAAGACAGTGCGAGATACGGACGCCTCTGTCACGGCCCCAGGTTAGGCGCTTCTTTTTCACTTCGTTGGCCTTGTAGACATGTACGTGGCTTTCCCACTTAAAAGCTGTCAGTAGACGACGTCCATCCCGCCTTCTACGGGATGGACGACGCCACTCACAACACAACCAATAGCGCGCGTGCTTGGGAACGACGCAAGAGCAACGTAAAACATAGCACAAATGCAGACCACTCATGCCACTAATGCCTAACGGGTTTTCATTTGTCTTAGCCTTGTGAAGCTTTTTCTCTAAACAATAATTGAGGAAGTTGAGCCGGGTCTCATGACGTGGCACTCTTTTTCCGTGCTTCTGTGTAGGAAGTGGTGCCGTATATGGGCTTGAAGAATTCAAAAAGCTTTTACTTAATGTTCTGGAGTAGCGTTGAAAAGAGGTGCAGCAGCAGCCATGTGGCTCAGAGCAGAAGGAGGCGTTGATTTTGTTATGCTACATGCCATTGCGGCCGGGCGTAGCAAAGAAACCGCCTATCTTTATAGTAATCTCAAAAGGCGAGCAAACGTTTAAGAGGTATTATTATAGATTTCATTTATTCATATTTTTCGGCACTTACTTCTTTAACGGAGATAAAAAATGGTACACTGTAATATACTTTCACAATATTTTAGTAAAATAACCTCACTTGCTTCAGTGTATAAATACTGCATGAGGAGATGCCGTGAAATTAAATTTAGGATCTGGGATTACTGCTCATGCAAAAGTCAAAATATAGAAAAAACTCCCAAGCATTCTCCGAGGGTGAACATGGTTAGGTGCGAATGCACGGGGTGATGCTATGAGGGGTATTTATTAATTCGCACTATTATATTTATCAATCACACTATGGTGCCTTTATGATGTAATGGTTCCTGGGAATCGCAACTTGATCACACGAGGGAGTTTACATTAACTCACTGGTGAATGCCAACGGATTTTAACTTTACTCTCCCTCATAGCATGCGAGCCCCGGACGAGCAAAGTCCAGGGCTCGCACCCTCTCCCGCGCGGCACTTTCGCTGGCTCGAACGGCTTCGGGAACGTCCACTCGCCTGACGATAGTTATAGCGCGAGAACAAAACGACGACACAAAGACAAGAAGGACACGAAAGACACGTCTTTCGTGTCCTTCTTGTCTCTGTGTCGTCGTTTTGTTCTCGCGCTATAACTATCGTCATGCCATACCAACTAGCCCAAGCTGCCACACTCCACTCGCCGTTGACGATTGCGAGCGGCGTCTTGACGCCGGCCTTAATCGCCCTTCTCTACCTGACGCTTGCGTTGTCGTTCCGCTTCTTGGGCCGCGTTCGCGGCTCGATGCTGACGCCTCATCTCGGCCTCGCGAGCACGCAGTTCACCATCCGCTGCACGCTTCGCCCGCTTGTTCTCGGCCTCGCGAGCGCGAAGTTCGGCATTCTCTGCACTCTTTGCCCGCTTGTCTTCGGCCTCGCGAGCACGCAGTTCGCATCCGCTGCACGCTTCGCCCGCTTGCACTCGGCCTCGTGAGCACGCAGTTCAGCATCCGCTGCACGCTTGGCCCGTTTACGTTCGGTCTCACGAGCCCTTCGCAGCGCCGCCTTGTCTTCCAACGTCGGCGAAACCACTGCGGTACCGTCACCTCCAACGACGGGTGCAGTGCTGGCATTCACTTGTACTGCATTCGTTGTTGATGATAGCGTTGCCTCCGGGACATCCATCGCACGACCCGCTCTCGACGGGAGACTGAGAGAGAAGGCGGGCGCGTGAGAGAGAGGGGTGCACGCGCAGCTGCAGCGAGCGAGGAGAGCGGAGGAGCGAGCGAAGGGGGATATCAGCGTCGCGTCCGTGGCTTATTCGGTAGAGCGTCCCGCTGCGGCCCACAAAGTCCTCTTTCTTTTAAAGATAGAGAGAAGACTGCGGACGCCGCCGACGGTGGTGGATGGTTTGGTGTCGCTTATAAAGTGTATTCACACTTAAAACAATTTTGCCACAAGTGAGACATATTTTGTCATCAAACAATATCAAAGCATACGGTGGCTCGTCTCTTATTTGCTCTGTGTTCTTGAATATCTCAAATGATTGAGACGTTTCATCAGGATCAAGCTTTAGCGCCTTCATATTCACGGACAGCGAGATGGTTTGGTAAAACATTGCTGAACTGCACTCGCACGTAATCGTAGGTTCTTGGTGAATATTAGAGCAGCTTCACTGCAAGTGTTAAATCCGATGAAGATTGGTCCACCTTCTCATGAACTAGTTTGTGGAACTGCTGAATATTTGGAGAAAATGGTAGTTCAAAAACTCAGAGGGCCCTTATGTTTCTCCTTTAGGAGTTGAATGCGATAGCGATATTCTGTACTAAGTGCGTACTTGAAACACTTAGTGCACGAAATATTTTCGAACTTGCTATGCACCCTCTATATGGCCTTGAGGAAATGGGCAAAACAATGTGTGTGCCTTTTGTAGCAGGTGACCGGGTTTAAACCTTGCAGTAATTATAATCATCCCATGGTCTGACACCCAATGGCCATAACACGCATTATTAGAGCAATATTTTACGTTGTATTGTAAAGTGTGTACACATGAAGCGTGGGCTCATCAAGTATGGCTTGATTTCACTGCGTTTCCAAGCAAGGTAAGTTGCTTTCATCATATCAGTTATTAAGTTCTTTGGCTAGAAGAGCCAATGGGATACCGTAAGTTAGTCCTTGCTACAATGAGAGTTTCTGTGAAGCAAAGAAGGCATAAAGATTACAAAGAGGCATAGATGAATGTTTTGAAATATCCGTTCATACAGCATTTTTATATCTTTTGATTCCTCAATCGGACATGAAATTCACGAGAACAGGTCTGAAAACTACTATCCACAAAAGTAAAGTATTGGGCAACACTATCGGAAAAGAAAAGCTCCTGGTGGTAGGTGGCGAAACTATAGGATCAGTAAAGGAATACATCTACTTAGCACAGCTAGTAACCGTGGAGCCGAACCTTGGGAGTAAAGTAGCCAACTTGAAGAATAAAGATTGGATGGAACACATTCGACAAGCACTCGTGAACCATATTTGCAGTTTAGAGTATCTCCCCAATGAGGAAGAGTGTAACGGCTGCATCTTTCTAGGACTTGCATAGGCAGCAGAAACCTCGAGGCTTACAAAGTGGGCTCAATTAAAATTAGTGATCAATCGGGATAGAAGCAGAAAAAGAACGTCAATTGCCGAAATGATGTCTGAGCTAAAAGATCAGCAGGCAACGCTTCACACTTTCTAGAAATGAAAATGCACTAACCTTGTTTACGTGGCATATTCATATTTTCATTAATAGACGAACTTGCGGAGCGTTTAGGATGTACCTGTGCTCAGTTTTCATTATTATAGTGAACCAGCTCCTAGGACCTTTCGCTTTGAAAAAAATATGAAAAATTTTGAGCTCATAGGCTGAATAAAACTCTTTATATCCAATAAACGAAATAGTCCTGGTGCTGCCATGTACCAAAACAACAACATATTTTTCTGGTACGCTGTAGTAGACGGCATTTTTTTCAACGTAAAAATGAATTGCATGTTTCGCGTCTTGTTAATAAAGATGCTGCAATGCTTGCGTAGGAAGAAAAGACAGGAAGCGCTTTTTATTTGAACAAATTAATTAGGAGGTTTCTTCGTGATTACGTCCTATGGCATGAGAGACCAAAATGAGTGATGATTCTACTGATTATTCTCTGAATGCAATTGCACTTTGTGGGATCGTGCACGTTGGGCATGCCTAATACACTATAAAATCAGTGCGGTGTTATAGCCCTGATATATACTATTAAACCTGTCTGCAAGAGTCCTGGTTACCCGCTCGTTAACGTAAGCCACTCTAATACTACTACTACTTCTGTCACTATTTCTCTCTCTTACTATATATATATATATATATATATATATATATATATATATATATATATATATATATATATATATATATATATATATATATATATATATATGTATATATATATATATATGTCTGTGTGTGTGTCTGTGTGTAATAAAACGTAGTAAATCCTTAGTCAAATCCTGGCTAAAATACACACCTACAGGCAGGAAATCAAGTAAAATTACTACCGCCTCTATGCGGCTCCGTAGCAGTGTTCCAGAGAAACCGGCCAGATTCGAAGTGCCCTTCAAAATAGCCGGGACAAGGTTTAGCCTGGAATTTAGGTTAAATTTTTCCTGGCAAGATACGGCCTGCGGTTCGGCGTGACATTTCCGTAGGCGGCCTGGCCCTGACGTGGTGGCGAAAAAAAAGCAATGATAATGCGGCGGCTGTAATGACTACAGGTAATTCTACATCTACATCTGCGAGATTAACATGCAAAGCACACGTATTCCTGGAATCGGACTCGGGACCACATGCACGTGAAGCAGATGTCTGACCTATTGCACCTCAGTGTCACCTTTATTTCTTTATTGCAGTATGTAACATTCAAACAACAGCAAACACTCTCCGACTAAGCTACTAGCTGAATGCCATGGCTTCAATGCAGATCGCTTATTTGCCACACATGTTTAAAATGGTTTCAAATGACATAATTCATCCATAACATTTAGCAGTTGATTATTGTAGCAAAGGTTTGCAAAAACTTTTTGCAACTTGCACATATGTTCAATAAAATAAATACGTGCTCACCGCGAGTCTAAATCACAATGACTGACTGCTATTCGGCTTAGCCCAATGCTGTGCGAGCCAAGGAGAAAGAACATATCATATTTTAGTAGGCCAGAATCTATTGCTAACAATCAAATCCCATAGGAAGTGAGAAAATAATCTTTCTTAAGTGTTTTCTGTAGAACATCCCAAAACAAAAATGCGTCGCAGCAATCGCTAAAAACATGCTCAACCGACTCAGGATTTTGGCACAATAAGCAATTGGAACCGCACGGTAAAAAATCATTTCTTTGTTCTGGCCACGTTTTAACTGGCAGCGTATTCGGGTGCAGCTTATGAAAGAACGTTTTAGCTCCAGCTGGTAAGATCATCTTTTTAACTCTCTTCAAAACGTATTCTCCTTGGCTTCCACTATACATAGAACAATACAAAAGAACAAGAAAACCAGTTTCAATTAAATCTCTCAACAAACGCTTCCAAGTGACTTTAGATATGTACTCAAAGCTAAATCTAGCACTAAGAAAGTGAAAAGCCGCAACAACTTCTCAAAGAAAGCTGCTGACACCATAACAGAATTCATCATTCGGGGTAACAATAAAGCTCGACAATGTTGATGCCAGCCTGATTTGAAGGATTCTCATAAAAACAGATTTTGCTGATCTCGTGGAAAAAGAAACCTTGATACAACCTGCCTCAAAATAGGTGTGGCAAGGTTAAACCACCTCTATTTAGATTTAGGAAAAGATTGCTGTGGCTTGTCTGTTCGTACTGGAATCGCCACACGAAAACAGCAAGAAGCCTATGAATCCTATGAACACGACAATACAGAGCCCCACCGCATGAAGGTGAATCTTTTTGTGGGGATGTATATTGCCGCGCCCGAAACAAAGAACGAAGACGATGTGCGCGCCAACAGCCTCGGGAAAAGGGGGACTGGAGAAGACGACGTGCTTTTGTTTCGCTCGGGCGCTCTTGGCTCCTGCATAAAAACACATGCCGTCAGATCTCGGAATGAATGTCTTGGTGCACTGCTTACGTTGAACCGCGACTCTGGTGGAGGCGCTGGGTAGCAAGCCTGCCAATGCTTAACACCCCATCTGGGAGCCGTTCATCAAGTCCCGATACACAGCCACCTGTTACGACACCAGTGCACCGCTTCAGTCGGCGGTTGCTAGGCCTATCTCCTGAGCTGACCTCTTTTGACGAACGTTCTACCAGGCATTGCGTACCTCTACCAATGGCCTCCACCAGCCAGCCACAGTTGGTCCAAAAGATACAAGGCAGCCCCGTTTCCGATCCAGCGCAGGTAACACTTCTTCAGCCGCTTGTGCCTCATTGCTTCAGTGGTGCCCCACATGAAGATGTTGAAGATTGGCTTGCGCATTACGAACGCGTTGCCGACAACAACCAGTGGAATGCTTAACAGAAGCTCGCCCGCACGTATTTCACTCTCTATGACAGCGCTCACTCGTGGCTTGAGAATCGAGAAGGCCGCATATCCACATGGGATGAGTTTTGTCAGCAGCTTATTGACGCCTTTGCTAGCTTCGACCATCGAGAGCAGGCTCAGCAGTTGCTTGAGTTAAGGCTTCAAAAACCTAACGAACCTGTGGCAATGTTTGCTGAAGACGTGACGCGCCTATGTCGTCGGGCTTATCCCAATATGTCCGAGGCGAAGAAGTTGCGCTACCTTATGCGCGACGTGAAAGAACAACTGTTCGCTGGGCTTGTGCGCAATGCCCCCACTACCGTGGCCGATTTTATAGGAAACGCCACTGCCGTTGAGCGTGCTCTGCACCAAAAATCAAGACAATATAATCGCTCATCCACTATCACCCATATCAACCCCGCTTCAGTGAATCTGGACAATCAGGGCTCCCTACGTGACCTGATCAGAGATAATGGCCGAGAAGAAATTCAGAAGCTTTGGACTCCCCCAGTGAATACACCAGCGACCGCCGTTGCCGCAGTCGTTCGTGGCGAAATTAGGCACGCTTTTTCAGCAGCTGATCTCAGTCGCGATCAGCGTGAACTGAGTTACGCCAGTGCTTTCCACCGTCCACCACCCGTCCCGCCTATTACATCATACTGACAGCCACCTGCAGCCGCACCTTCGTCGCAACCATTGCAGGAGGCTTTCAGACGTCGGCCCATGTCTCCGATGTCTCCATGCCACCAGCCATCACTTGCTGTGCCTTACTCACCACCACGAGAGGACATAGGACGCCCACAAATACGCAGAACGGACGCTTGGCGCACCGTTGATCGGCGCCCTCTCTGCTGCAATTGTGGTGGTACCGGCCATATAGCTCGCTATTGTTAGTACCGCGACACATCGCTTCGCCCGTCTCGGCCAAAGTACGATGGTCGCCGTGCCAATGATAACTACATTGTTCGCCTTGACGACCCAGGTTTTCGAGGACTTTCAACAACGTGGTCTCCCTATCACGAGTCACTTCCTAATCGCCAGCCAAATTTTGCTTACAGGTAAGCTCTTCATCCCCTGCTAAGAAATCGTAACCAAATTGACGTACTTTTGCTGACCTTCGGGGAACAAGGTCGCCCAGCCCTTACCAGGAAACTAAAGATGGCGACCTCTCAGGGTAAGGTTGCAGCCCGACCACAAGACGATAAAAAGTTCCCAGTACTGCCGCCACAGAACGACTCGACGCCGACGAATATTAACAAAGACGAAATGGTGAACGCCGACCACAATGTAATTATTGATGGAGAGCAAGTGACGGCCTTAGTCGATACGGGTGCTGATTTTTCCATAATAAGTCACAAGCTGGCTGATCACCTTAGAAAAGTAAAACAGCCATGGACAGGACCACATATGAGAACAGCAGGTGGTCAATTGCTGCTCCCCACTGAAAGATGCAGAGCAAGAATCAGCATAAAAGATTATTCTTTTGTCGCGATTTTCATTGTTCTCCTAGATTGCTGCAAAGATTTAATTATAGGAATGGAATTTTTCAGGGAGAATGGCGCAATAAACATCCCGGACCGCGTGGGTTTATTTTATGAGAGTGCTCGTCTGACTTATCCTACAGCACCAGAGCACAAATCCTTTCGTCTCGAAGACCACTATATAGTCGTGCGGCCTCGATCATGTATCCTCGTTTCAGTAGCATGTGACGTACCGTTCGACGGTGAAGAAGTCGCCAACCAACTAACCTCGCTGCTTTTCGCACACGGGATTTCCGTAGCACGAGGAATATTCAATGTCACCGACGGCCGAACGAACTTGCTGTTGACCAATTTCGCCTCCAAGTGATGGCACCTTCCAAAAAGCACAACATTGGCACATTTCGACGAGATCGCAGATGTTTGTGACTGCTTTTCAGCACTCGGAGCAACACCTGCACAAGACCCACAAGACCTACCACCTAACCATGACATCACCCTACTTTAACTCAGCAACAGCGGGAGCACCTGCTTGTGCTTCTAGACGTGTTCCACCACTGTTTTGCGTCGACGTCGAAAGTTGGCTGGACGTCCTTGACAAAGCACTGAATCATCACAGAGAACACGGCTAGACCGATCCATCAAAATCTATGCCGTGCGGGTTCAAAAGAACGAGAAGCGATAGAACATCAGGTAACAAAAATGCTTGAAGATGACGTCATTCAACCGTCGAAAAGCCCCTGGGCATCACCTGTTGTTCTAGTGAAGAAGAAGGACGGCAGCCTGCGTTTCTGTGTGGACTATCGAAAGCTAAATCAGGTTACAAAAAAGACGCGTACCCGCTTCTCTGCATAGGCGATTCGACTGACAGGCTTCGAAACGCTCCTTACTTCTCTTCCATGGAGTTGAAGGGCGGATATTGGCAATTTGAACTAGACCCCAGGGATCGTGAAAAAACCACTTTCGTGACGCCAGACGGAATGTACGAATTTAAGGTTTTACCATTTGGCTTGCGCTCCGCGCCTGCTAGATTCCAGCGTCTCACAGATACCGTTCTCTCTGGAATTAAATTGAGAACCTGCCTTGTATGCCTTGACGACGTCATTGTGTTTTCTACAACGTTTGACGAACACCTTGAATGATTGCAAATGATTTTGCAGGCAATGCGGGCCGCAGGCATGACGCCCAAGCCGGAGAAGTGTCACTTCTGGTTTGAGGAACTACAGTTTCTTGGGCATGTCGTCAGTTACGCAAGAGTTCGTTTAGACTTCAGAAAAGTTGCCGCCGTTGC